AGGTGATTATTATTATTATCAGAATGGGTTTTGTGGGGATTTTTTTAGAAATTTCACTTGTTGAAATCATGAGTCAATTGAATTTTATCGATTTAGCTGCTTTTATATCAATCTTTATATTCATAATTTAAGACTGAAAATATGTGATAAATTCTTGTATATACAATGGCATCATGTAACAATAATTACATAAACACGATATATTTATCACATTGAAATATTTAAGAAAATGAAATTTTCTAGTTTTTTTGACATAGTTTAATCCACTTCTTCAGACAATAAATAATTGGCTTATATTGATTCAGAAAACATCAGAAAATTTAATTTCTCTATACATTTGAATGTTAAGAATAGGTTACTTATATTTTTAATCATCTACCTAATGCTGAATCCATCATGAAATTCTCAAGTCAAGTCATAGTAACAAATTACTTACGCCTGTTACTCCTCGTGGAGGAGCATAGGCTGCCCACGAGCACTCTCTCTCCAACCCTTTCCTGAGAAATCCTTTCCAGTTGTTATTTATCCTTTTCATATCTGCTTCTATTTACCGACGTAATGTGTTCTTCGGCCTTCCTCCTTTCCGTTTCCTCTCAAGATTCCAAATTAGGGCTTGCCTCGTGATGCAGTTTGGTGATTTCCGAAATCTATGACCTATCCACTTCCAACGTCTTTTTCCAATTTCCTCTTCAGCTGGAAGCTGGTTTGTCCTCTCCCACAGAGGTCTGTTGCTGATGGTATCCGGTCAATGGATGTTGAGTATCTTACGTAACCAACCATTTATAAATACTTGAACCGTCTTGATAATGGCTGTGGTAGTTTTCCACGTTTCAGCTCCGTATAGTAGAGTTAGCTATCGTGACGTTCGTACTGAAGATTATGACGTTGATATTGACTGACAGTTGTTTTGAGTCCTATATGTTCTTCAATTGTAGGAATGCGGCCCTTGCTTTGTCAATCCTCACCTTTATATCTGCATCTGATCCTCCTTGTTCATCGACTATGCTTCCCAGGTACGTGAAAGATTCATAGTAATAAATATCTGATAATAATTATTTTAATAAAATAAACTTAGTGTAATTTACTAGTATTGATAATGGTGGGTGTTGGCTGTCAATATAATTCAGTATACAGTTGTGAACATCAGTGGGGAAATGCAAATAACCAATATATATAAATTAAAATTATGCATTGCTTTGTTTAAGGACTTATTCTTTCAAAACTATGGAATCATTCTCGAAATCACAAATATAACATTACAATCTGAAGTGTTTTACATGAAAATTATGGAAATTCTATAGATTGTTGAGTGGATGTTTTTGAAACGCTCAAATATTACATGTTTTGACTCAGACTACTGGATATGTAGATAGTAGTATTACCAAAACAATAGATTCGATTATTAACAGTATAAGTCGAATTTTCTTTCAACAGCAACCGCATATTGCTAATGGTGTCATCCAAATAGCAGCCTGAGTTATGTTATATAGTATTATATATCATGTGGACTTGGATACTGAGGTATTAGTTATTTGATGTATTTGTCACATATTATATCTTCATTCATCAGTTTAGCCATTCAACGTAATGTAATGAAGATGGAGTTTGATTATGAATGTGGTGGTTGTGACTGCTATCAGTGATATAAGGGCAGTCGTTAGTTCTTGAGATATTTGGAAAGGAACTAGATTTATCACTGGTTTTGATAACTTAAGAGAGCGACTGCAAAGCCTAAAGTTCAGCCGTTTGGCAATGGTCATACATAGTTTCTTGACGAATAGCGCTTGATATGCTAGCCCCGCACTTTTAAAACCTTACATACGGTACAAGAAATCTGTATTTTTTATGTTTGAAGTAGACTTATTCTATCCCTCTCCTGACGTTATAGGAAGATAATACCGGTACAGAGGCTGTTTGTCTGAGGAAAACACCTGACTGCTGTCACACCTACATACAATCGGCAGTACGAATTCGCAGTCAGATCATGAGACTGATGGTTCTAATCTTACCGCTCTTTAACGAACCTGTTTAGTAAGGTGAGACCTAAAGGAACAAGTGTCTCAGTCAATAAAGTCCCACTTAGTCATCACGATACGCAAGGGTGAACTTAGAAAAACGTTCGATTGATCCATTAAGTCAGACTGTTAATGAGCCATATTGGTAAATGCAGACCACCTGGTTGGCGTCTGTAAGATAACCGTGACCAATGGTTGGACATAATGGGTAACATGTTTCAGAATAATTCACAATGGCCTTAATTCACCATTTATTCCTTGATTCAGAACTTTCCCTTTTCTCTCTTCAAACCATAATCCTAGTGATTAGTCTTTCATATTATTATTGCCAATGCATTGTTTCGATTTTGTATGCTACATATCTTGTTAATTTTAACTCATGTGCTCAAATGACAACATGGGTCAAAATACATTTCTACTAGGCTATAGGTTATGACTAACCATTACATATTATATATACATCAAGACAACATATTTTCATTACGACAAGTGTTTCCTTTCTCCTTGTTTCATTTATAACAATGATTCATGATTTGACATTATCTGCCTTACTCCCTCTGTCTTTGTTATATCTCTTCCCATCATTTGACTTTGAAAAAAAAGCAAGTAGAAGTGACCTACACCTGGATTTTTATCTTTTCTGGCATGTAAGTTTTCCCTCATATTACACTCCTGACTACATTACTGTAATCTTGTATCGTCATAATGAGAATGACAAATCAGCATGATGTGTAAATAACTGATTATCATTTATTTTTCTCTACAGTTTAAAAATGTACCAAAACGAACTGAAAGAAATATTGGCAAGTGTGTTGTCGAATTTTCGCTCTCTCTCTCTCACACACACACACTCTATTTATGTATTTTTCATGGTTTGTTTTTAAAGGAATAGCTAATTTGTCACATCAGTAACATTCTTGTACTCCTAATTTTACGCGTAATTATACGTTACTTTGAGAAAAGTATAAAAAAGCACAATCAGAAGGCAAGAATGACATATTTTCAGGTTGTATATTACAACAGTCTATTATAGTAAATGTTAATACTAGTCAATTAAATAAATTGCTTGTATTATCCAATTATGGTACAGAATCCTAATAATTTTGACTTGATTCCATTATGTCATAGTTGACCAGATTTAGGAATGTAAACTACTAACTTCCAACTAGATAGTAATGAAACATTGTTTTAGCAGCGATATTTGATGACCTCAAATTTCAGTCCTTCTAGGTTGGTTTCGGGTTTTCAATAGATCTTCAGTAAATACCAGAACGTAATGAAAATTATCTTGAAGCTTATTCAGTGTTTATTAGGTTTTATTATTACCTCCACAGTCTGCAATATCTAGTAATCTGAATAACTATCTGAACAACATATGTTTACGTCAAGTTTACCGTTTGATGCATATAACCAAAGTTCGAGATTCATAAGAAATAGTTTCAAGTTACATATGGTTATCACCAGGAAAACCATTAAAAACCAACAACTCATGTATAACTGTTTCGTCCCAATTTTAAACTCCTCAAAAATGAATTCACACAGGATTCCCACTTCTCATGATGGCTATGATACACCGATACTCTTTTTGAGTCCGAATTATTTAGAATAATTCACAATTTCAAATAGTTCATCATTTAAAGTGATGGCTTAGTGGTTAAATTATTTGACTTTCATACAGATTACAAGTCTGAACCCAATTTTGTTAGTCACGTAGTATCATAAATTTTTACAAAATATAGTTAAAGATGAGTACAATAATGGTAAATTAGTTACGTGACGAAAATAACTTTAGATTCAAGTGACTAAGTTCGTCATTCTTTCAAAGACAACGAGACATTTAATAAGAAATCTGCATTTGTTCTTACACCAATCTCTATGAGATGATAATATCTTAACGTGTATTCATTCAATTCGGACAGTGGATAGAAGTGGATTTCAAGATACATATTCTGTACCGTCTGAGATTTGTGAACTAGATGTAGCTGGATCTTGATGTTGTTGTTCGCACCGGGACTAAAATCCAGTACATATCTCTTCAAATTTCAACACGCGATCCTCCGAGCTACAGAATCTTCATGGTCAATAACCTGTACGACGAGTATGAGTGGAGCAACATCAGGAGATGCAGTCCCATGGTAGCCAGTGACCCACAATGGATTCATACGCCATTTGTTTCCTCACGATCCTGGAGCCCATGTACACCAATGGTTTAGAATGAGGGTTTTGGAACTCACCTAGGTGGATACTCCATATCCACCAACCCAGTTTAAGTGCCAGATATTCGCTTCTCATCCTCTCGATCTCGTAAACAACACCCCGCCGCGAAAAGGCAGTGATTAGCAGTTCCCTGCTAGTGGTTGTATAGCAGCTCACGCGCAACTGAGTTTATCCACAACTAATTGGGTTAAGCCTCTCTGTTAACTTCTTTAGCGGACGGAGTCATCTCTACTAGAACAGCTTATTTATATCGTTGTACCTTTATTATTGTTGTGCTTGTATGAAATATGTATGCTTGAACATGGCCTACCGCCTTTGTATATATTCATTCTGCTAGCTTTATTATTAACTGCTTAACTGATTCGATGATCCATTCATTTCCTTATATATATATATATATATATATATATATATATATATATATATATATATATATATATAACACTCGGTTCGCTAACTCAATCATTCGCCTCACTACTTTGTGCTCTGATTTATCTGCTAATAAAACTGTAGTCTCTGGTTCTCTTTGCCTTCTGATTTCCAACACCATTGAGGATTATATGATAACGGTTACGAGGGTGATTGGTCAGCAAAGCACAGCCACTATAGTTGTATGCACGTGACCATGTGAGAGCATTTCGTGAGGGAGAGCTGACTTTCCACACTCACAGCTGTGCCAGGGCATTTGGGGGCAATGTTGAAGTAATCCATTCAAAATTAAATTTTAGTAGTGAATACCAACAATAGGAAAACATAAACTCATACAAATATCAATATATATATATTACTTATTTAATTAAAAACACTAATCAGTAGTATATATACAATTTCTTTCATATTAAACAAATAAATACTACAAAATTTGTGTATAATAATTAACGTTTTGATTTCTTTTTTTCTTTACACTTTTTTCTATTTTCATTAGAAATATCTTTGGTATTAGAAGAAGAAGATGATGATGGTATATTCAATTTGATTAATTTTGCATGTCCTGATTGTTTTAAATGAATAAAAAGAGCATTCCTTGATTGAAATTCTATAGAACATGTATCACAGATAATTTTATTGATTTTTGAAGAATTTAATATTGTTTTCTCATTTTGTTTTATTGTAGATTGATCAGAATATTTTAAAGATGATTCTTTGTTTAAATTATTATTGGTATTTATTGTTGATTGTATTGTAGTATCATCTATATATATAGAATAGATCATAAAAAACAGACAAATAGCAATGATCTAATCAAACTGAATAAATGAATAACTTATTCAAAATCTTCGTGGTCAGTCAGTTACAACTTGGGACTAGGTCTAAGTTACCATGCCTCATCATTAGCACAACAAGATGAATACCGGATTCATAAAAGTGATTAATTCAGTGGTGGTACTATATAAAAGAAAGATTACATATAAGGATATAGTATAGGAAGAAAGAATTAGTTCGTAGAAAGATATGAAAAAATTTTGATCTCATAGTTTAAGGGAAGACAAAGAGTGTATACACCCACGCCATTGTGATCAATTCTGAGCAATGTCATACCGAGTCTCCAACCATTGGTTACGATAGTCATCAATCTCTGTGATAACGTGAAATGTATCAGCAATCTGTGAATAATATCAATTTCTAATGTTTTGCATATAGTATAGTCAACAACAACAACAAAGAGAAATCTGAACAGTTAGCTATTCAATACAGTCAGTAGCAACGTAGATTTTCGTGCGTGCGTACATCAGTTCAAGTTGCCATACCACATTAGCACACAGATACAATTGTCGACTCAAATCCCATAGTGGTAGAGGTATTAAAATTATAAGCAGTAATCGGAAAGATTAGGGTTGTGAAGATGTTATTCAATGAGTATAATCCAGTGAAACAAATTGGGAAAAGATTAGAATTTGGAAGAACACAAAGACTGGATGCACCTGCGCCATTGGAAACGATTTTGAGCCATGTCATTCAAGGTTTCTAACCATCGGTTACTATCGTCTCGCAGATCCCAATGCAATTTATATCAAAATTCAATGATATGTCTCATTGATAATGTCGATCAGTGTGATAAGCACTAGTTCAATTTATCGCATAACATATCAAAATGAAACTATCAAGACTTTATGGATTTACATAATGTATTGGTTTGGTCATTCCTAGATTTCTTTCAACTTATTGCTTACCTATGCAATGGCAAATATCACGTATATTGACATGACAGTCTTGACAGTATTAATCGATATCGTGAAGTTGTACAGCACTGCCTACTGTCATTTTGGTAACTGTATAACATATCTTCTCATTAAGTACTTTTCAAGATAGACACACATTTAGATCGTATAGACCTATTCAAAACCTGGACTATTTTTTAGTGCTGTTCTAACAATCTAAACGAGTTGCAATAGTTGAACTACTTATGAAAGATTTGTGTACTATGACTTGTGTTACTCATGAATAGTTAGTTTTCATCACGTAATTTTTTTCCTCTTATTTCTTTGGTTAAAAATAAACTAAATGTCCTCTCATTAGTTGTCCGACCATATTCATATGATCATCTTTGACTATTGCTGTGTTTATCTCCTTGAATATATATATATCATACCTTCTCGACAGACAGACATCAGGCTTGGGTTCCTTTAGAAATACGAACTTTAAAATACCCAAAAAAGAGTTTAATTATCACTACAGATATGTTTTTGACTAGACTATCACAATAAATGGATTAGTGATTATAAATTCAACGCCTTTACTCCCTACTGTCACATACTAGGGATTGATATAAGTGTCATTATCACTGTGTATAGATTTTATCCAATGCCAAAAATTAGTCTAAACAAAAGATGACGACTAGTCAATACGCATTGGATGATGAGCGTTTAAAGAAAAGAAAAAAAAGAAATTGAATTAGAAAAAGTTGGCGTTTATATCGAAAACCATCTCTTTTTTATTAACCATGTAAATACGATATTTTGACAGCTATTAACTACACTACACGTATTGAGTTAAATGAAAAACAGTCGAAAACCATCATTAAATATAAATAAACAAATAAAGAAATGAAAATTTACACATATACACTTAGACCTATGCATATATATATGGAAAGAGTATTCATTATAACCAAAGGCAACTCTGTAAAAAGTATAACTTGTCATTTAGAGAGAAACGTTTATAACATGGAATAACTGATAAATGATGATTCAGACCTAGTCATGTCAGGTTATTTAGATCTCCAATGCTCAATCATCAAATATAATGAACTAGGGAAAAAAAACCTACCACAAAACTCGAATTTGTAAATGTCAGAAAAAAACGTATTGTTGTTTTTTCTCTATTTAAAGTAAAAATAATTAAAGACAAACTTCATAGACTGATCTTACTTGACGTATTGTTGAAAAAAAAAGAAATTGGACAGTTGACTCGCCCTAGTATGAGACTTATCAGCAGTGCATACCGACGACCAGTGATAGAATTCAAGACCTTCAGGTTCTCACAGAGAGCTCTGAACCTTTACACCATTAAGCTAACGTTCAATGGTACAATTCCAAGTTTAATTAATTCGCGAAATAACGCGACGATTATCTAATACCACTGATGAAGACTGTCTCACTACTTCACCAGTTATAACCCTCACAAGATAACTTGAGGAAAATCCTCGTGACTACAACCTACCTACAAATTAAATCAATTTTCAGAAAACCCCTTCAGTTAAACTAAAAATCTGTTAAAACGACAAATTCATACAGGACAAACAACATGGCTCTTGTAGCGACAACATGAAATAAAGTTAAAAATTAGACGTCATTCATATGTATTTATTATTTGGGTCTTCTCATTGATATTTAGGGCTGCAATTGATTAGCCTCTCTTAGAATATGTGAGTCCTGCGTTGTTTGCCTTGATATTACTAGTAGGTCACAATCATTATAAGCCGAGATAAATGGTAGCTAGCTGACGAGTCCCAAATGGGATGAAACGTAATTCCTGGATTCTACCGCTATCCATCCTTTATCACCGCTTGAGTCATTCGGTAAAGTTTTATTCAAAGAGCTAATAATTAACTGGAATATGATTTAGAAACGAACGTTTCATAAACAACATTATTACATCTATGAAGAGAATTGAAAAAGAACTTTCTATGCATTACATGAAATGAATGTGTACAGAATCGACTAGTCTATCTCAACACAACGATAATACATCGCAGTAGAACTATTGATCAATGGATTAAGTCACATAACCTTCGACTATCAATCAATCATTTATTTTGTTTCCAGCAGTTATATATTATCAGTATAGGAATTGTAATATTTTAACAGTTGAATTCACGAATAAATCTATGCTAGAACATCACTGAAGACCTGGAAGCATTGGACGACTGTTTCGTTCTGGTATAGGGATCCTCAGTAGTACGCATTCACGATCCCGAACCTGGAACTCAAACCCACGCGAACGGATCGACTGAAGTTAAACATTTTAACACCGTTGGATACCAGCTCAGTAGTTTAGCTTAGATTGAATCATGAATTCAAAGGGTTATATATTGTCTCGAGAGATTATTATTTATACATGTTAATACATAGATATTGATGCAAGGAGATATATGCGCCACACAGATCTCATTTGATATGTGTGAGGGCTGTGATACTGACCGGGTGCCCAAACCGAAGCAGGTGGTTTTCTTAGGAAGCCACACCCGGAGCCTTCGACTTGAAGGTCTGATTCACAAGGCAGTGGAGCATCGTAAGGAGATGTAATCTCATGGTAGCCGGTGACCAACGATTGGTTCATACGCTATTTGTTCACTCAGGATACTGGAGCTCATGTGCACCATTAGTTAGGAATCAGGGTTCTCCAACCCCCCTAGGTGGACTCTCCATGTCCACCAACCCGGTTAAAGCGTCGGACGTTCGAACGGACGACGAACAGACAAAACATTGAATCTATATTTTAATTTAACTAACCTAATTCACAATTACTAGTTTCATTTATAATTTCAGTATTATTATCATTTGTCACATCTTTGTTTAATTCAATTATTGAATTTGATTGTTCATTTAAAATAGGAATTGATAAATTATGTAATTCTAATTGTTTTTTACGTTGACGTTCAGCTTTTTTAGCTCGTTTAGTTAATTTTATATTAGATTGTTCATTATTATCATTATTATTCATAGAATTATTGTTGATAAGATGATTATTAGAAGATTGTTCCATGAATAATAAAGTGTTGAAATGATCTTGTAAAATATTATTCTCTTCATGAATTAATTTTTTTAATAATTCTAATTGTTTTTTATGCTTTTTTGATAATTCATGATTTAATTTTGCTTTGATTGAAGCAAATAATTTATCACATGCTATACAATATAATTCATCATTAATTGTCTCTTGAAAAGGATCATCATCATTATCATTATCATCATCACCATCATCGTCATCATTACTATTATCACCATTATCAGTATCAGTATTCTGAGTTTGTTTATTAATATGATCAGTTTCCTTATCGGTAGAATTATGAGGATTATTAATGGTTATAACATGATTGGCTTTAGAAGACTTCTATGAATAGAAAAAAGAAAAATATAAATAAGTGAATACAATAAAAAAGGATCTTTCCAAAAAAGTAATTGTTTTTCAATAACCCTTTAAAATATTGTCAACTCTCTTTATGTATACGAATTACTACAAGAAAATTAGTGAGATTATCAAGACTGAACAATGTATACAATATCAGAATGTATGCAATTTCTTAAATTATAACATAGATGGTTACATGAACAATAGTTTAGAGACATTAATAGTTAAATACCATTGAATAGTATATAATCTTAATAAACTTGAAATGATCATCCAAGTACTGGAATTCAATAAGAAAGAGATCAATCCTTTAGTAGGAATCCGATAAATAATCTGATATACTTTTCTAGGAGAATAAATAACTATGAAGATGTAAATTAAAAATGAACGGTTATGAAGAGTACTGAAAGTAGCTAATTCAGATGACAGATTATTGTAAAGTCTAAACTGAATAACTATATGTAAAACTGATATGGTAAGCTGGTCAGATTTCGGACACCGCCCGTTATAACAAAAACATGATTATATCACAATAAAAATAAATTACGTCACAAAATTTCGTCATCAAAGATGCTGGTGAGGTTAACTACATAGAATACTACTAAAAATAGTAGACATTTCAGAGCTGGAGAATAACAGAAATACTATGGTACACATATTTAAATTACTTAAAAATTATTTTTAGTAATGGTATCATCATCTTAGATTGTAATGAATCACCTGTAGCGGATCGTCTAAATTGATACCATCAAGCTCTGCTTCTAAACGTTTTATCTCAGCTTCAAATTGTTCCGACCACTGAGATGCGATTCCACCAAAAGCAATTTCATCATTCCAAGCTTCGTGTAATTGGGCTGCTTCTCTGTAATATAAAGTATAATCAGTAGACAGGGATATATATATGTATATATAAACATAACGAGAACTCATGTTGTCTGAAAATACTATGGTCTTTGTAGACTTCATAACTAGTTGCTTCAACAGACAGGTTAACATACCTAAAAAAAGATTTAATCGGAGATTTCGTAAGACAACGCTAAAATTACCGTTTTATGTTTAATACAAAACCTTTTAAAGACTGCAATAACTGTTCATAATAATAATATTATATATATATATATATATATATATATATATATATATATATATATATAATATTGTTATTATTATTACTGACAGTCTTCCTAATAGGAGTCAAAATGTAGGAGGCAAAAACTGTGGGTTAGGCGGATAACACACGTAGTAATTGATTACGGGTAATTTAATCTACCTTCAAAAAACCCAGTAAGTTCGACATTTTTTGATGTTCTCTACATTACATGTGGTTAGTTTTAGTGTAAGAGGTTGTTGAGATCATGGAACTTTACTCAAGAATCTAGTTAGTCTGCAGGGTAAACTGGAGTGTCCTGGATGTTTTCTCCTGAGTCCTCTGAATCTCCATCCTTTGCCAATGCTAACTTTGCTAAAAGATACAAACGATCATCAGGTTCAACAGTTTTATTACGATCTGGATTTGGTTCATAAGATGTATAATTGTGATCATTGTAAGGAAGTCTTTAACACCCATTTGACTCACCATAAGTTACAGCATGAAAAGGATATTCATCGGTGTCAGATTCATCTTGATATGATTGAAATTTTGCTTCAATTAATCTAACAATTATCTTAAGAATAGTTTACTGTAGAAATTCGTAGATGAAAAACAGAATAAATACTGATTTAAATGATTCTCATAGATGATACATAAATTTTATGATTTTACATAGTTTTTGATGTATCAAACTGAAATTAACTTTATATACAGATAAATTTATTGATGATAAAACAACTAAAAAGTAGTGTTCAACAATAAGTAGTGGAATCCAGGACGCGCGCGTTTTGTTCTATTTCAGACTCGCTAACCTGATGTACCTTCATCCTAAAGTTGATGTTTATCCAGGGACTCGAACCTAGTAACGTTCGCTACTCAGTCTAGATATCAGAAATGACTGACCAATTGCAGTCCTATACATCAGTGGGAAGATTCAAATAACCAATACAAAAATGAATTAAAAATATTCGACAATGTTAATAAACAAAATATTTTAAAAGAATATGAAATTTGTTATTAACAATTACCGCTGTCTAGCTTTTTCGGCTAATAATTTAGTACGATTTTGAGATTCTTTAGCTATACGTTGAATGCGTTCGTTTTCAGCAATTACACGTTTATCCCTTTTTTTTACATATGCTACCAATTGACGTATTTCTTCATTTCGCTTGCGTATTGCAGACATTCTCATACGATTATTTTCTGCTTCCATTGCACGACGTTCCTATTAGACGATAATAGTATAATTTAATGACGAAAAAGTGAACACAACATGTTAAATGCACTCTATCGTGTGGTGTTATTATGAATTGGGATTGTAAATGTGAATAAGCGTTGTAATTATTAAAATGAGTAAAATACCGATCGATAAATAAAAGATGTGATCAAGTAACAACTGATGGAAACCCCTAAATAAACTGATATAATGTAGATGCCCACTGGAGGAGACTTGTATACAAATTATTGACACGAAAATAAATCGTTCATCATTATTAATTTCATTTTTGCAACTCATTTTCTGAGTGATAATTTTTTGTTGTCTCTTAAATCTTTGGTTAGACGGGTTTTTGATCAAGACAATAAACTATTATGATATAATGTGTATTGATGAATAAGTTTTAAAATGGAAACCAACTGTGATTTTACTGCAAATCCTCATTCCTTCAGATACGTGCAAAATAGGACGTAACAAATAAATACTCACTTGACGTGAATCTGCAAGTCGTGTGTCGTATTTTTCAACCCATGTATATGTTTTTTTTGTTTCAAATATTTCCCAGAATAAATAGAATGGAGCAACAACTTCCTTGTATGGACTCGACGAAGAACCAAAAGGTGGATAACTTCGTGGTTTACGTCTAGAGTATTTTTTACAGTCATCTTCATCATCATCGCTACCACTTTCACTAGACGACATGGTACAACCAGAAAACTTAGCTGCACATTTCTCCTCTTCAGTTATATTGGCAAATACTTTAGCGTATACAGTATAAAAGCCCTGAAACATAAAATGACAAAATACCATTTATAGCTACTTTAAACAAACAAGTAGTATAAGTCTGTACAATAAAAAACTATTGTAGAGGAATTGGGGTTTTATCAAATTTAATGATGATAACGTTTAGAAGAAAAAGAAAAATCTGATTGTTGGTGAAGATATACCAGTTGCATGTATTTACAATACCGATAGAACTTATTTTCTTCCGTATGTCCGGTGTTTAAGATCTATTCGGGTTGAATGCATTATCGCCCTTTCAATGACCAATTTATTCAAGTACTTTCAAAGCGAAATCACCAACTGGATTACGGCGATTTATTAATTTTCCACTTTAAAATTACTTGTAATCACAAGCTTTTGAGCTCTTGAACCGTTAAAACGAGATAACCTGAATTCATGTAAGCTTCCAAACAGCTGAAGTGCCAGTAAGATACATACAAGTGAAATATTCAGTGAGACTAGAATTTATGGACATACCAATGAGATTAAAGATGACATATTATAACGCGAAATCAATTCATTCATATAGTTATATAACATTCGGACATTATAGCTGTTGAGGATGCTAGATTCCCAGAAATCACTTGATAAAAGTCTTATTTTTGTAATTTTATGTTGGAGATTTGAATTTCTTGTTTTCGCGCCAAAAGCACCCATTTTCACCGTCATATTGTATTTCCAAATAGTTAGCTTGTCTTGTCATTGTTTGCTGAACCTTCGTTTCATTCGCTGATTAAGATGATTTCGTAATTTCTTCAAACATAGTAAAAGCTGATGTTAGCTCGTGATGAAAACACTAACTCTTATTCCTAACCCTAACTTCTAACTCCTGATCCCCATTGTTGTTCCCCACGCTAATTTACAACCCTCTTTTAATCCCAGTAGGTAGGTGAATTTTCCACTTTCACATAGCTTAAGGGTCGTTCATAAATTATGATCTCACCAAAGATTCATTACTAGAACTCAGTGAATGATAAACTTTGACATTGAATTAGGTTGTTAAATTTAGCCTCAATGTTTTAAATGAGGCTCTATGAAAGGAGTCAAAGTTGTCCCAAAGAATAGTTTTCGTAATACGATGAAACAGCTACTCAGTATCCTCTAACTTTTTATTATTTTCAACTGACAAAATTATGAAGAGAATCAATTTTGTATGACATTCCGTTTTGTGTATTCACCTAATCTTTGAATATAAATTTCTCAAATACCATACTGCCTAAAAATTTCCTAAAATACAATTAAACCACAATGAACACGAAGTAATCTAAGTTTCTATGTTAGTTATGCACTAAATGTATATATCTCATTGTTCAATATATTCGTATAACCCATTAAGAGGAGATGGGGTATACAATGAGTATTGATTAAACAAATCAATACAAATATTTGTTGTTGATTGGGTGTTTCATTGAGCTGGATATTTGTTTACATCTTTTTCGGTCGATTCAATTTGAGTCATACATTAAACCATTAGTCTTTAAGCACAAGATGTAGATTACTACTAGATGTAACAATCTTTCATGTGGCTGTTGAGTCAAATAATTGATAAAATTAATGGATAACTACTGATTCGAAAACAATACTGAAACAGTAAATAAAGATCACAGTCCAGTACAAGAACGTTCACTAAATTTATCTTACTAATTATGACCCATTCAAGATCAACAGCTCTTTATACAAGTGTATTCGATAATGAATATGGGATTGAATTGTGAACAAGATCTCGAATGCTCTCAAAGATATAAAGGTGGTTATCAATCCCCAGTTAACCTACACTCTGGAAGAATGTTTCTTCTTGAGATATCTCATTGAAAAACTGGGTTAGGGATAGTCTTGACAAACTGGGAGCGTTATTTCAGAGCCTGATTACATGGAGCATTTATGGTCGTTTTAAATGTTATATCCGTACTTTTATTACTTTACGGAAATCCATAGGACAAGGTAACGGTATTATGTTTTTGGGGCCTTTAATCTCCTTCTTCCATCGTGAGAAGACAACATCGATGTAGATGTTGGTTGTCTGAGAGGAAAAACACCTTAATCCTGTTAAATCCTTGTACAGTCGGTAGCACAGCTTCACCCTCGGACTATGGGTTTACTGCTTTTAGCTTTGTCACTCTCCAACAGACGTGTCTGGTATGGTAAGACATAAAGGGACTAATGTTCCAATAAATAAAGCTCTAGTAGGTTATCACGATATACAAGCCCGACCACCACTTTAAGGTACTAACTACAGTCTAGTTGAATACAAGTATTTATAGCAGATGAGCAACACTTTGTAAAGTTATCCCTAACATATGGCGCAATCAAAGTTACGGAAGAATAATAATAACTGAAAAAATCTAAGAACTATCTAGAGACCATAGTAATTGAAGTTTTAGAACACTATCAGATTATACCTTTACGTCATCATCAAATTTTTCAAAACAAGATCTTGTAAAGTATTGGAAGACATCGACTCGGCTCTCCTGATAATCTGATGTTTCACCCATTTGAGTACCACGACCATTTCCCTGTAAAATTTGAGCTCGATGTTTATCATACCAAGCACGTTCTTGGGGATCAGATAAAACTCTGAAAATGTTATTAAGGAAAGTTATATATATAATCCAAATAGGATTTACAAAATATTTTATCAGATATATTTCTCCACCGCATATGGAAGCTTTAAAGAAGCTAACAAGCAGTAAAGGAAAAAGGCACAAAGACCCTGTGGAAATTTTCCTAAATGCATTTTTTATGGGTTAAGTAATGGAAAGTTATAAGTGTTTGATACAACCTCCTCGATTTTCGCCATCTTTAACTCAGTTAATTTTATCCGCTAAGTTGTAGTCACTTAAACGGGAATTTGAAATAATACAGGTAGATAGAGAGCACAAAACACCTATTACATCCAATCTACACAATATCAAAACCAAGACTTCCAAGTATTATAGCGTTTGTATTACACCAAAGTCACAAAAAGCATGGCTATTGTGAGTTACATTACTACACCTGTGTTTATAACCAACTATAGTGGTATTTCTTGATTTTAGGGTAGCAATTGACTTTGTTGATCGACAGGTTTTATGCATTTGTCTTTTAATGAAAGGTATATGTTGTAACAGAACAAATATAATAGTTGGCTATTTACTTTTCGGACTCAAGGGAGTGATGGAGAGAAGTTTGTGAATAATGAACTGACAGGGACGTAGCTCTGGTAGCTCAAGGTCAACAGTGCTGGTCAGGTGTATAACTGGTCAAGTTTGGGACACTAGACCATAGAAGAAATAGTAGACGGGAAAGATAAAAATTGGAATGATTCTGAGTGGCGAATAGGTATGTGTCATTAGTCAGCAGTCTACAAGACAGCACAGTATACACAGGAATTGCACGAACCTTACGAAGAATATCTTAAACACTACTAGTAGAGCCGGAGACCATACCAAACTGTCATCAAAATGACAATATCAAGTGATTTACATCAAGGTTGCCCACTATCCTCCATTTTTATATAAATCTGTCAAAGACATCTTTCTAGAGGTAACGATTTAGTTGTCTAAATTTTCGTGAATATATCATCTACCAGTAGACTCAGTTAGTGACTTGGAATATGTAGATGAAACAGTTCTATTCGGTGAAGATGCTCACAAAATACAAACTTCTCACCATCTTGAGTAACGGTGCTAGCATGTTTGAGGTGTACTACGTACCTCCTAAATGTAAAATGTTGCTTTAGATCTGCGTCAACCCATGAACTAATAATAAAGTAGTCGAAAGAGATGATCGCTTGATTTATCCTGAAAGTCTCGTCAACCTTCAAGGGTTGATGTTTGATGAAATCTTGGCACGGATTCAGGAAACTAGCTTAGTTTTTATTAGAATTATTCACCTTGGTGCAAATGCATCCACTGTTAGTCTTTCCTTTCTTTGCCCCCTGAATGCCCTGGTACGGCCGAGAGTGGGGAGAGTCCGCTCTCCCTCTCGAAATACTCTCACACGGCCACGCGTATACAGCCTCTGCCAGGGAAGTCCTACTCATTGCCTTCTCGTGGCGGGGGTGTTGTTTACGAAAATGAGAGGACGAAAAGCGAATGTCTGGCGCTTTAACCGGATTCCAAATCAATGGTGCACATGGGCTCCAGTATCCTGCGGGAACGAATGGCGTATGAACCAATCGTTGGTCACCGGCTACCATGGGACTGCATCTCCTTACGATGCTCCACTGCCTTGTGGGTTAGACCTTTAGGTCAAAGGCTCGGGGTGTGGCCCCCTAAGATAACCACCTGCTTCGGTTTGGGCACCCGGGCAGTATCACAGCCCACACACAAATTGATGAACTCTTTATGCCTATGGAAATTACCTTTCTCGCTTTGAAAAACAAACAATTGATTCAGATTATTATCATTACAATTATTGTCATTATTAATACTAATATTATTATTACTACTATTATTGTCATTATTGTTATTATTATCATTATTATTATTATTTTCCACATTATTCACCCTCTTTTATACTTATACAGCGGCTCGTCTTTGGTGGAAATCCGACTGTATCTAAACGTTCTCGAGTCACTGTCCGGTTGAAAATTGTATGTTACCACCGAATACGAGGACTGAAGCAGATTTTCTGAAACCACGTGCACCATTCAAACTGGCTGCCTTCAACGTTCGCACATTTATGCAGGTCGGACAACAGATAGGGCTGGCTATGTCTTTGGAAAGTCTTAATATCGACGTGTGTTGTCTATCCGAGACCCGTACTCAAGACTCTGGCGAAGTACTACAAATTCGATCTCCATCTGTCGCTTCGAAAAGCTTGTTTTACGTGCGCTTATCCGGGGATCCTGTGGCATCTTCGTCTGGTCTTGCTGGCGTTGGTGTCGCACTAAGCGCTAGAGCTGAGGCAGCACTAGTCGATTGGATCCCCATTAACAGTCGGTTATGTGCTGTTAGATTAGAAAGTTCCATCAAAGTGAGAAGAAATCGGCGTGAGAAACGATGTCTTTCCGTCATCTCCACCTATGCCCCGACAGATTGCAGCCCGGATGCAATCAAGGATGAGTTTTACCACCAGTTAACTGTTCTTCTCCAGAAAGTGCGTTCGACAGATATTGTAGTACTAGCCGGAGACTTGAATGCTCAGGTCGGGCGTCTAGGCACAGAAGAGAGTCGTTCAGGTGGCCGATGGGGACTCGTTGGTCGCAGGTCAGATAACGGGAACCGTCTACTGCAACTGTGCACAGACCACAACCTGTTTCTGGCTAGCACTAACTTTCGGCACAGTCATCGCCGATGTGTCACCTGGCGTCCTCCCTCTGCATCTCAAGCCTGGACTCAGATTGATCACATCGCGATCAGCTACCGCTGGCGTGGTTGTGTACAAGACTGCCGCTCCTTTTAGAGTACCTATCTGGACTCTGACCATGCTTCGGTCTGCGCCAATCTTACCTTACTTTTCAGTGGCCAACGAAGTGACCACCACCAAAGGATTGATGTTAGCAAGCTGGTTGCAACTTCTGTTGCAAGTAAGTATCGAACCGAGCTAGCTTCTAGACTAGCTACCATTCCACCGAAAATTATAGATGAGCATTGGTTGCAATTGCATGAGGCCATGAAAATGGCGGGTACAGTCAGTTGTGGGTTTGCGAAACGTCCCGCTTTTAAGCACTGGGTTTCCTCAGGCTCCTTACAACTCATTGAAGCCCGTCGGTCTACTCCGGGTGACCGTGAGTTTGACCATAAACGAAGGATGTTACGTGAGGAAATTGGGAAAAGCTTGCGTAAGGACCGAGAAGCCTGGTGGTCGATGCGTGCTAATGAGCTGGAAGCAGCAGCTGCATCTGGTAACTGCCGGAAGCTCTTCCAACTCATCCGAGCCACTGGCAGCAAGAAGTCTGGTGTGAGTGAAACAATCTGCGAGGATGATGGGATGCCAATCACTAACATCCATCGACGTCTTGGACGATGGGCAGAATTTTTCGAAGGGCAGTTCAACTGGCCTGCTGCTCCGGCAACATCGGTCAGACTGTCCTGCCCTCCATGGCCGGTGACGACTGATTCACCAAATGAGGAGGAAGTCCGCAAGGAACTCCAACTCTTGAAGCGTTACAAATCACCTGGTCCAGATGACTTACCTCCGGCTCTTTTTAAAGATGATGGTGACTTTTTGACTAAGGAATTGACGACGTTGTTTACAAAGGTTTGGGAACTAGAGAGTGTACCAACGTCATGGAATGAGTCGATAGTTGTCCCTATCTTTAAAAAGGGTTCACGTCGTTCCTGTAACAACTATGGGGGGATAAGTCTACTTCCGATTGCGTCCAAGCTATTGGCTTCCGTCATTCTTCGTAGGTTGTTCAAAACCCGAGAAAGATTGACTCGCGAGGAGCAGGCTGGTTTTCGTTCCGGTTGAGGATGTATTGATCATATCTTCACCCTCCGCCAAATGTTAGAACACCACCATACTTATCAAAGGCCAACAATCGTAGTGTTTCTTGACATCAGGGCTGCCTTCGGTTCGTTGGACAGGACTGTTCTCTGGGATTGTCTATTGAAGAAGGGTGTGCCTGAGAAGTTTATTAACATCCTAAAAGCCCTGTATAAAAACACCTCAGGCAGAGTGAGGGCATACAACTATCTCTCTCCATTGTTCCATTCGAGCAGTGGGGTTAGGCAGGGTTGCCCAATCTCACCATTCCTCTTCAACTTTACCATCGATGACATTCTGGAAACAGCTCTGATGGATGTAAGTAATGGTGGTGTGGATCTGTTGCCTGGAGAAAGACTTCTCGACCTTGAGTATGCGGACGATATTGTCTTACTGTGCGATAATGCCCAAGCCATGCAATCCGCACTTAATCAGTTGGCAATCAGTGTCCGTAGGTATGGTATGTGCTTTGCACCTCCGAAGTGCAAAGTACTTCTACAAGACTGGCAGGATTCTAATCCTGTACTCACCCTGGATGGTGAGCAGATAGAAGTAGTCGAGAAGTTCGTGTATCTGGGTAGCTGCATAAGTGCTGGTGGGGGTGTGAGTGATGAGATCAATGCACGAATAGTGAAAGCCAGAGCGGCTTATGCCAATCTGGGCCACCTTTGGCGCCTTCGTGATGTTAGTCTGGCTGTAAAAGGCCGGATCTACAACGCGTCGGTGAGAGCAGTTTTGCTCTATGCTTGTGAAACCTGGCCTCTCCGAGTTGAGGACATTAGACGACTCTCTGTGTTCGATCATCGCTGTCTCCGAAGGATTGCTGACATTCAGTGGCAACACCATGTCAGTAATGCAGAGGTTCGGCATCGTGTGTTCGGGCACAGAGATGATAACTCAATTGGTGTCACCATCTTGAAACACCGACTTCGGTGGCTTGGACATGTTCTCCGAATGTCGTCCCAGAGAATTCCTCGTCGTGCATTATTTGCCGACTCTGGGACTGGTTGGAAGAAGCGGAGAGGTGGTCAGTGCATGACATGGTGTCGTGGCATGAAAGAAAGCTGCAAAGGACTGGCTTGTGTTGGTCCTTCACGACTCCCTGGCTGGGGTCCGAGAGATGGTGCTACACAGTGGCTAGAGACGTTATCAGATATGGCTCAGAATAGAAGCCAGTGGCGATCTTGCTGTAACCTTCTTTTACTTTCTTCATAAAAAGTGGTTGTGTCTCCTTTACCTGAAAGATTTCTCCTGATTGTACCTTTTCGTTCCGTCGTTACTACCACACTACCTTACTCCAATCTCTTCGTCATTGTTCTCTTTTTCTTTTGCGTTCCTCAGTTTTTTTTTCTTCTTTCTACTTCTCTTCGAATTCCCATTGTTTTGTGTGGTGCATATATATTGGCGCTCTATTGTACCAATATTTATGTGTTCAAATAAATAAATAACTCTTTATGCCTTAGATCCTGAGTTTTGAAATTATTTACTATTTTATCACGCAAATTCATTTTTTCTTCTAGAGTTTCATTCTATACGCCTAGTCTTTTGACCTTGCATTTCGATAGTTTCATCACTCTATTCTGATGCGGTATGGTAACTGAAACCAATGCATATTACGCTAGGTTTTACGATGTTTATGACTGACTGACCTAAACTTCCAAACATTTAACTTGTTTGCCAACATTTAATCGGAAAAATTAATGGATGGTTAGCAACACAACTGATTAACTATTGAAAGTAAAAAGAGGATGATTAGGTGTCTGATCGCAGTATATTTGGAGTGTCATCTATATTTAGTGGTACTAATTGGTGAACAGCTCAGGAGTAGCGTGTGATTTAGAAGTACAAAGTGGATTATTTGACAGACTTCCATCGACAAAAAGCTGAAGGTATAATATGTGTGTTTACGATATTTTCTCAACTACTTTGTAATGAGGGAGAATTAAGATGGGAAGGATTATCTATAACAAACTAATTCGACATTCGATGGGGCCACTAAAAACTTGTTTTAGGCAACATGGATTATCGCAGTTTTTTAGAGCGATGGGTTTACTGTAATGGGAATTTCGTGCTTCTGGAAACTGTATTGTCCTAACTATGAACATGGAGTTTTTCTGTTATTCAGTTAATCCATGTGTTAAGTGACCCAACTAAAAATTAGCCGTGATCTACAAATCTTACAAAAAACGAGACTGACATGAACATTATTTTCAACAAAATGTTCATCATGAACGATTAAGTCGCCTATTAATAATTATAAAATCATACTTGTAAGCCTCCTGAATTTCTTGAAATATTACAGTTGTGTTCTCTGTTGTGTTTTTGTCTGGATGCCATTGTAACGATAGTCTGTAGTAAGCCTTCTTAAGATCAACTTGCTCCACATTTTGTGTGACACCTAGCAGTTTAAATGACATTTCTATATACTTACCTAACAATTCATAATAGCACTTCATCTCGTTTAAGTAACAAAGAAGCCCATAAGTTTAAATTCTTTTGCTCTGAGCTCCGAATGATATTCGCTAACGTCCTGTGAACTGAGAGCTAGCACGACTAAAATAAAGCAAAAATATCTTTAAAAAATAGGCACAAGTCGGGAAATATTGATCAATTATTTATCCACTCTTATACACATCTTGGTGGGTCAGTGATCTGACTTCAGTTTGATCGCATGATGATGTTAACGAAATATATATGTCGTCAACCCTCGCGTATAATTGTCGAGTTGATTCGCGTAAATGGATAACGGAATAAAATAAGTCAAACAGGAGAATGAATTCTAGATACGTACATCTCATACACTCGTTGATCCAGACAGACAATTAGAGAAACGAAGCTGAGGAGCAGATCGGAGAAGGCAAGCATACTAACTTAATTTGATAAAGCGGTTCAGTATTTATAGCCAGATAAAAATAAGCTAGACGTATAATGAATAGGGTAAGCAATACACACGTAAACTCATATAAAAAGTCAGGGTTAATAAGCGAATGACTGATAAGGTCAAAATTTGACTCGAGAAGAACTAATAAACTGGTCTGTCAGAAAGCTAGAATAAACTGTGTGGGATTGGATTGCAATACGGAGAACGTATGGACAAAACAAGTGGAACGACTTGATGAATATGAAATGTTTGCAATGCATGGGTCTGGGTTAGTAAGATAGCTCTTAAATTATATACTTCATGGTCTGACTAATCTCCAATAGAGAATCCTCACCTGAAAGTGCCATAAAAACTGAATCACCTTATAACGGAAAACTTTGAAGCAAAATAATTTCAATGAAACAAGATACAGACGTGAAGTTTACGAACCTGACCGTTGTTGCTACTTTGACGTGGTGGTTTGGGCTTGTCTATCGTGATGATGGCTCGAACAATCGTTTCTTAAAGTCCTACCATGCCAGGCAGGTCGGTTGAAGAGCTATAAGGCTAAAAGCAGCAAACCCAAGGTCCTAGGACGAAATCGTAATGCTGCATGTACAGAGGTGTGACGGCAGTAAGGTGTTTCCCCCAGACAACCAGCGTGACAGAGAAGCTACCTTCCTACGGAGGAAGGGTCAGATTGGGAGAGGTTGAACCTAAAAATGCGCACCTCACCTTACCCAAGGGATTTCTGTCTACGACGGTAAGGTTTCAACAAGTACGGAGCTGACACAAAAATTACCTACAAAAATGTCGTGTGTAATCGGACTCATATAGTTGTCTCTTGGGCACTGCAGTCACACTCTCAGGCCACTAAGACCAACTCCAACCCAATTTTCTGTCAGGTACCTCTAGAAGAACCCTTCTACGATGTGGGCAACCGGGAAGTGATAACCATCCTTATACCTCTAATAGCACTCAAGACCACCGTATTCATAATCAATTTTCCTCTTTAATTCTTATTACTCCGCTTACCACGCCTATCAACTCCAAACTTGCGCCTCAAGCGTCACCATAGCCAACGATTCTAGTGCGTAAAATAATACCCCAGGTCTACTGAAACCTCGTCCCAAACTACACATTAGAGTCTTCAACGTACGTACCCTGTGTCAAATCGGTCAGATGGCCTCCTTGGCTAAGGCCCTAGAATCTCGTACTATTGATGTATGCTACGTCTCTGAAACACATATACAGGGTCTGTTATTTTTGAAACGATTACGAGTTCGCCTGGTCTGCGAACGGAACAAAGACTGTGACCAAAGACCAATAGGCTAGCTAATCTGATGCGTCCCAGCCCCGAGAAGTCCAAGTTCGAACGGGGAAATATATTCCTCAAGCAGCCAGAAGCACGAGCAACCACGACAAGTCTAGTCGGAAATACACTCATTTATATAATAGTTTGTACACCCATTTTTGATTAATAATCAGAATAAATCACATATATGAAAAATACTGCATACAATAATATCGTATGTTATACAGAACAAAATGTCATAGAGGAAAACGAAACAAATACCATACTGCGTGATCATCAAATTGAATTAAACGAAATGAAGATTGAATAAAAATCATAATGAGTAAACCAATTTAATTTTGATTTTTCATTCAGTCATAACAGGGTCCTAGTGTGGTCACTCACATGACCTCACCTCGCCAAAACGGAGATCCAACGAGATACACCCTCTGTGTATCTGGCGACCCGATGGCTAGTTCTCGTGGACTGGCAGACGTAGGCATAGCACTAAGTAAGAGGGTAGAACGAGCACTATTAGAATGGATCCCCATTAACAGTCACCTATATGTTGTTCGGCTAAACGGCTCCATAAGAACTCGGAAGGATAGGGACACGTGGCGTTACTTTTTCGTCGTTTCTGCCTACGCTCCCACTGACTGCAGCCCAGGTGAAGTAAAAGATGAATCTTACAGAAAGCTTCCTGAACCTCTTTAAAAAGCTAGACGCTCAGACATAGTACTCATAGCAGGTGACTTACCCAAGGGTAGGTAGCCTAAACCAAAAAGAAATACATTTAGGTGGGTATTTTAGTATTCCGGATCAGAAAACAGATAATGGTGACCGTCTGTTGCACCTGTGCGCAGACAATCGTTTATTTTTAGCAAACACTAATTTTGAGCATAAGGAGAGACATCGTCTAACATGGCGACCACCTGCACTAAGCCAACGATGGACTCAAATAGACCATATTGCCATCAGTCATCGTCCAATAGGCTCGATAAAAGACTTCCACTCAATCTGAAATACATGTTTAGACTCTGATCATGCTCTCATAGGAGTACGCAGAAAAACCACATTAAGACCCATTATATTTGAACTCAGTGATGAGAAAGCCAAAAGTAGATTCTAGGAACAACTGAGGCTACACTTAGGTAGTTCTGAGAACGAGGCTGACCCAGATGTTGCCTGGAAAGATATACAAATAGCTATGGAAACAGCAGCGATATCTATTAGTGATTTGAACCAAAGGGTAAAAAGCCAGTGGATTTCTACTAAGTCTATTGCACTGATAGATTCTCGTAAACTCATCCCATCAGGCTCTGAACACGATGAAGAGCGTAAACAGATCAGATCGAGGTTAAGAAAAAGTCTAAGGAACGACCGTGAACAGTGGTGGGCAACGAAAGTAAGAGATATAAAAGGCGGTGGCTGTAGGTAACACAAGACAGCTTTCTGGACTAATAAAAGAAACCGGAATTAAGAAGTCAAGAGTAAGTGAGACAATCACGGAGAAAAACTGTACACTTATCTGCCCTCAGTCTAGACGTTTAGAACGATAGACGGAACACTTTAAGGAGCAGTTCAGCTGACCTTTAGCTACTCTATAACGACCCACCATTTCGAAACAGCCTCAATGGGACGTTAATATATACCCCGACTCCAAATGAAGTTCAAAAAGCTATGGCTAATCTGAAACAACGAAGAGCAGCTAGTCCAGATAGATTAGTTTCAGAAGTCTTTAAGGATGGTGGCCCAGTTTTAGAGATTAGGTTGACTAAAATTTTGGCTGAAATTGGAGAACTGGACGTAATTCCATATGACTGGTCACAACCTTTGGTCGTCCCAATACATAAGAAAGGATCAAAATTATCCTGTGATAACCATAGAGATTGGTTTGCCTAATATAGTGTCTAAAGCACTAGCCTCAATAATTATCGAGCTCCTAATAAAGACTCGTGAACTGCAAACACGAGAAAACAGGGTTGGTTTGAATCTGCTGGGATCGCCGAGTAAGTAATGGTAACGTGGGACATGAGTTATTAGGGAATGATAGTAAACTAGTTGATGAGGTTGTGAGTCCTCAACGACTGAGATGGTTGGCCCACGTATTACGCATACCCGACCACCGATTACCATGGCACGCGATGCCCACTAGTGTTGGAGACAAATTGAGGAAAGTTAGGGGAGGCCAAACTAGAACGAGGCATCAGTCCATAAAGTCATTAACTTTGGGTCTGAGACATGTTGGTAGATGCAGACTACTTGGTTGGGGTCCGCGCGACTATCGTAACTAGTGGTCTGTAACTCTAGGTGTTATAACTTAGAACCGATCACAATGGCGGCGTATACAGTCCTTGCTTTCTCTTAAACCATGGGATTAAAATCACTTTATACACTTTCTACAAACTAATTCTTTCTCCGTGTATCATCACCCCATTACCACTGAATTAACTGCCCCTATGAATTTGTTCATCTTGTTGTGCTGATGAGGTATGGAAACTCGGACCGATGCATATAAGTTTCTGGTCCTGAGTTGTAGATGAATAACTGATTGAATTCAAGAAGCGCAAAACGTGTGGTAGCGTTTAAGCGTCAGGTAGGTATTACAGTTCCTTTTTCCTAAAACTAAGATTATCTATTCAGAGATAGCACAAGGCAAGTTAAGTATTACCAAGTTTACAAGGACGTATCATTTGCGGGGAAGAGGGTAGCTTCGGCTTGATATCTGAAACACATTATGTGCATGATAATTTTGATAGAATTCTATTGAATATGGCAAATTCTAATTGCTGACTTAGTAGATACCCAGAGCAAACTGGACTAAGTACTTCGTGTTTAAGTTCTTAGTTAAGTGCCAAATCTTTATCTGAATATCTTGAAATGACGTCTATTATATTGTAACCAGTATTGTATACCGAGGCGGAAATTGTCTACTTGCCAACGTGCATTTCAGTAATACCAATTACCATACCTTCCAAAATCCCTTACTAGTTACGTATACTTAAAATCAGCCAAACAGTAAAGGTCGTCTGGATAGTTAGAGATAAAAACAAGGAGTTGTACACTTAGTTGGAGTGGCGGAATAAGATTCGACATAGTATGTCCAAGAAATCACAAAGAATATAAGGTTGACACGATTTCCCTGGACTTCGAACACGTTTGAAAAAGCAACAAACAGGTAGTCAGAGATCTTAATTGAGACATATATGGATTGCTCATTTTAATAGACAAATTATGCTACATTTTGGTCTATAATAGAGTAAGGTGTATATTCTGAAAAGTATACATATCCGACATCTCTGATCTCGATGAAAATTTGAGTTGCTAGAAAAATCAACCTACGTTTACACACGATTTGTCGGAAATTACCTGATTTAATTAAATCAGGTACATATTGATAGTAGGCGTAAAAGCGGTTTGCATACACCAGAACCAATATTTAATTATACCATACGATACACTGAGATTTATTCGAAAGCATTAAAAACAAAGCATCCGCAATATTATTTACTATAATATCCAAAGAAGAGACGACTTCCTAACCTCGTGACTAGACCTTGACTTGTAGCGCATCTAGTTATAGTGGAGCCCTAAAAGCAATCTTCAAGAAATGGTTTAAAATACAGCTAATATATTTTTTGTTCATCACCCTGTAAATTTGCGATCTGGTACTAGGAACTATAAGTAGAAAGAGTAGTATCTTCGATGCATAATAAATCTAGTAATTAAACACTTCTCACCGTTGGCAGTACTTAAATCCAGTTAAAGTTTCCACTGGTGTACTTTTGACTAACGCCGTGGTTGATATTCATCAAAGTGTTCTTTCTGGAGTTATTCTCATGACCCTTACTTTCGGTATACCTAACTACTTCATCTAGACCAACTTAAATATAGTGTTACAGGTGTAAATAAATCCTTGCTTATCATATTAGTTTCACCAGAAACAACACTCGCTGAAGGTCTTCTACCAGGCATCAATCATGTTTTAATAGGTCGTGTAGTGCACCTCCTACGATGACTAGTTAGTTCAGGTGTCGTCCATCATGATACATTGACCTATAATTCAAGTATATTTTCATATACCATTACCTTCAAGGTCTAATTTCAATTGCCTTGAAGTTTCTGCGCCACAGAAGGTTCGGACAGTAAAATTTTAACCACTTTTTGTCTGTTTTGTTCTTGACTTTTAACTCCAACACCTACGAAAACAACTTTTGATGTCCGTATTAGTTGCTGGACGACGGAAATAAATAACTAATGACCTGAGGTAGTGTTGCACGGTATGTCACTTTTACGGACTTCATACAGACAGCATAGTATTTAACCTCACTCTCTGTCTTAAACAGCAAAAGAACTTTCTAAATAAGTCTTAAATTATTTCAGCTGTTAAGGGGTCGAAACGGTGTATGAAATCAAAATGAAACACTACTGAATGCCCTGCTGAAATCGAAGGATATCACATCGACAGAAAGACCAAAAACTCCTATTTTTGTTTAATATCTCATAATGAGCGGAATAGTCAAGGTGAAACATCTATGAAGTCCGTGTTAATCTGTAGTTAATAGATTGTGGTTCTATATGACGAAGCCAACTACCCCGAATAACTTTTTCACACTTTAACCGTTGTACTAGTTATAATAACAGGTCTGTAGCTGAGTACGAACTGTCTTTTCCCATCCTCTCATGTAGAGCTAACTACAGTATATTTGCAACCTCTTATGAGTTCAGTCTGGGAAAGCGACGTATGAAATTGTATTCCCTCCTGGTGCCTCAGAAAAAATATCAGCAATATTTGACAGATATGATGGAAATATTCTGTTCGTGGGAGAGATACAGATCCACAAAAATTCTAGTGAATATTTGTATTAAACTGTGGAACACATTTCACTCTACCTTTTTGTGACTTTGAAATGACAGCGCCTGTGGCTTTTAGGGAACAATAGTTAAATTTTATGGGTAAATCAGGGATCTATGTCACTGTGACTGTGGTGTGTGCTACTTATATTGATATAAGTAGTATATGTCGCGAGTTAAAACGTAATATCTGGCAGCAGAAGATGAGGTGAAGATCAAGAAAGGAAGAGCGAGAGCACAATGGAATTTGTAAGAAAACGCATGTACAATGGAATGGGAGACAATGGATTAGTGTTTGCAATGGAAACAGTCCAGTTTGATATGATGCATTGATATTTTGCAAATTGACGATTGACTTTATGGTATTCAGATTTTATTGAGATAGTCTGTAATTTTTGTGCTAAATACACTCGATTGTCCCCACCCGTATTCTTGTTCACTACATGACTATTTTTGTAAACGAAAGCTAGAGTAAGTGAAGATTTTAACCCGAAATCGTTCATCCGTGAATAAGTACTTTAGCTTGATAGAACCTGGTCGCTTTTCCAAGTTCTCGGTTTCACATTGCCAAATGTATCTAGTTATTCAGAGAAGTCAATTCAACGAAGTTGTAGAATCGTCGTCTACTTCGACACTAGTATATTTATCTTTGGTGCTATAATAATAGACATAATTCCCAAACTTTAGATTCGTCATGATGTAGACTACCTGATCTACAAGATCTTACATCGAGGTTACATCATTGTCTATATTGACTCGTCCTATCGTGAAAATTAGCAATATGACGTCTAGAACTCCTGAAAAACACAATCGGACTAGGAGGAGAGTAATATATCAAGTACAAAAGGCAAGAAGTTACATTATGTGACCATCGCCTCGTTCACCGTTGCTAACTCCTATGCATTTAAAATTTTGAATGTAAATTTTCTCAGTTATCTTGTGTTTAGCTCTGAGTATTGTGTGGCTTGAAGAAATACCACTACAGAATCATCTCAGCTATTGTATTTATACATGATAATTAGAGGTATTAAAATTCTATCTGCTGAATGGCTATTTCCAGCTTCCACTCGATTAGTTAGTAATGGACCAGTATTCAAGTCAGGAATATGTCAATGGGTATAAACAAAGATTTAACATTTTTAATTGCATGATTATGCACGAAGTTATCATCATTTCATACAAACAGTGCAATGTGCTTATCTATGCTGATTTTAGAATGAATAACGTTTCATAAGATTACAGTATAACTGTTGCCTAGTTTTAGGGAATCAGTTTATCCTCCTAGTATCCAATTTTCGTGCTACATTTTAGCTGTAAGTTTACTACAAACTACTCAACCGGATACCTTATATCGTTATAAAATCTCCTTGAGAGTTATACAGATTAATCGAGGCAAACAAAATCTTGAATGTACATCTGATTTCTTATCAAGCATAAAGTTACTCTAAAGCTCTGACTCTAATGTTATTTTTCCCGTTATTTACCTTACTGTGCGTATACAAATAATCCCTTTTGTTGGGTAAGCTTGACGCGCTCGTTAGTGAATAAGTGATGACCGTATATATCACTGGCCAATTTCTCTAATTGAGCTTACTTTAGTGATCAGATTGACTGCCTACCTAACGGCTGAAATACCAATATTCGGTTTGAACAGAAAACTAACGAAATGACATTTATTCCATTAGTCCAAACTACGTTCTTTGGTATACCATATGAAGCGATTTTAAATGGCTCGTATTAAGTTGCATCAAAATACACACCTTGTGCTCAATTTAAACGGTTCTAATTTAAGAAAGAAAACAAATTATATCAAAAGTACAAAATACCTAGAACGGTACAGCCTGTGCTACACAATCAAATGTTTCTCTAACACAAATTAGAGTTAACTGCCTGAGAATCAATAAAAGTACTTCTAACAAGATGGGATCAGATATCTCTCTGAAAGGATTTCGTCAATTTTTCCACGCCATAACTTTGAGTTTAGTGAAATGCGACCTAATTGTCAATGGTCCGTCAACATGCAACAGTAAAATTAAGTAGTAAAAGGTGTATTTTTAACAAAGGCCAAATGATGAAAGCCCAGACAATGAAGACTGAGGAACATAAAGTGTGAGTTACAGAGACCGGAATAAAGGTTAGAATACAAGACAGGGAAAAGGAACAAATAGATAACAATACTGATAAATAAAATTGTTTGGGGGAGTTTTCAATGAGTTCTTTACGTTACAACCTACACAAGAACCTTCTGTTTTCCAGATGTTAGCTTTGACGAAGTACAACTTACAAATTGTATGAAGTTACCAAACGATCAAAACTATGGATGAGCGCTCATCAGTATTTTCTTTAAGAACTTTATTTTTCAACCACAAAACCATATGTTTAGTGCGGGATATGCGTCCTCACTACTTCTCAGTGGACTTCACTGTACAAAAGAGACTTATTCACTGTAAGTTAAATAACTCTATCAATAAAGCTGAAATACTGATACCTTGGAGAACGAGTTATTAAAATTGGGATTCTATCATTTGACAGTTACAGCTACACAGTGACTAAACAAGACTCCACTGTGTAACAAAGCTGAAGTAAAACTAGGTAGGGTATAGTGTTAGTGTACTATAAGCATAGTAGCAGGCTTTCCAATGTTTTAACCTGTCATTGATGACATGTGTTGGTGTCATAATTATGACTCGCTATCAAGCTGCTTACTTGTCAGTGCTCGTTTAACAAATTTTTATGGTCGCTTTAGGTGTTTGTCGAATACCTTGAGTTGAGTTACATGTGATCGGTAGATAAAACAAAGGATAATTAATTTCACATGGAGAATTTTTTGTCTGTGTAAATAATCATGCTAATTCTATTCCAGTCAATAGTTAAACAACCATCTTATCATAAAAGAACCGTGGATTAGATTATTAAACATACAAAAATAAACAATACAGAAACGTTTTACTCCAAAATATGAAATTTTAGAACTCACATGAGTTCAAAACTCGTGTTTAAATCAATAAAACCACAAATCAACAAACCAAAATAACTATTTATAGAACTTCTTAAACATCATTTTCTTTCCTGTGTTATTTTATAAATCAATTATCTAGTCTAGAGTGGCTTTTTTTAGAACCTCGCTGTGCTTCAAATCCTTCTAATACTGGTATCTAGATTATATTGGCGACCATATTTAATTTGATTTATTGTAATACGCTCTAAGAAATAGTCAAGAGTTATTAATAATCAGCTTGTAGGCAACATATTTATTTTTGCGACTTGTGTTTACAATATAATCAATATCAAAGCTGCCTTCAAAGATAATTCGCTTTCCATAAGAGCTGTAATCTTAATGATTGCTGCTTACTTTTATGGGTTTGAGATAGTATTACAAATCAAAAGCAACGTAACCAAACGGTGACAAGATACAACCATAGAGAATAAAGAATTTATAATTTGAAGTCAATCACAGATTTAAACGAATAGTAGTGAACCATTTAGCCTGTGCAATAATTGACTTAGTTTGCATATCACTGGTGTATATAACCGATGTCAGTGATTGAGGTCCACTCAAGTTGGATGGGATTATGTGACCTTCTACCTTACATCAAAGTCACATCTGGAAGTCAAAATCTAACCTGGACAACACGCTACTGACATCCATGAGTTTTTACTACTTCGATGACTGTATAGAACAAACGTAACCGTACTAAAGAAACGTATTGTGAGAAAAGACTATGGAAGTATATAATAGAGCCG